TTATAGAATGCTCTGACTCCCGTGGGACTCCGTTACCCTCAAGTTTACTTTCCCCTGTCAGTTTTCCTCTGTAGCCTTTCCTCTGCCAGAAATGTCTTGCTGCAGACAACTACAGCTTAGCAGACTACTTCACTCAGAAGTCATGTCTGAAAGCAGAAACCCCGCACAGGCTCCCTTCTGAAGCGCAGTGGAGTTTTAAACTCCGTTGGATGCTTAGGCAACACGTTCAGTGCTTCCAGGATCTATAGCTCAGGGATCCTTAAAAATGAGCCGGTAAAGGCTGTATGCAGTTTTCAGAGCTGCCCCCCACCCCCCTTCCCTCCCGCCTTGGAGCTAAAATAATTCCTTCCACTTACCACTGGGTTTTATTTTAGAAATAATCTACTGACAGTTGAATAGGAAAGAACAAAAAAAAAAAAAATCAGTATGCATCTTCTCTCAGCCTGCCCGGGCCATGGCAAGATTAGCAGAGCATAATCCACTCCCCAGGCGGGCCAGGCACTGGACAGACCTCTTGTACCAGGACACCTCCCTCCCTTAGCGACAGGAAGCGCACTGGACTCCAGCCACACGAGCGCCGCCAGCCATTGGCCGGGCGCGACTCCGGCCTCTCGGAGGGAGAGGCTCGGCTCGTGGAGCGGCGGCCAATCGCGCCCTGCGTATCCGGGAGAACCGGGCACAGCGGAGCTATTTAAATCCCGCCCGGATGATGTCAGCCAGGGGGGCTGACAGGGCCTGGAGAGGGGCGGCAGGAGAGGAGGACCTTGTCAGACTGCATTATTTACAGTGACCTGCCACCTGGGGACTGCGCCAAGCCCCAGGGCCTGCTGCTCCCCGCCCTCCGGAAGAGAGAGGGGTCCAGAAACTCATGGGAGACGCGAAAGACACTTTGAAGGCTGCGAGAGGGGCTTGACCCAGCGTTGGCACAGGATACGGGACGGGAAGCCGCGTGGGGAGAGGTGATAAGGGCCCACAGGTGAGAGGGGAACTCTGCCCGCGTGACCCGGGGCCTGGGCGGAGACAGGACTTCAGAAGGAAGGTGAGACCCTCCCA